TAAGCACATGCGCGTGTGAACAAGAAAACACATAGCAAAGAATGAAGACAGGGACTAGCTAGTGTTACAAACGCATACTCGTGTAAAAAATGTTTGAGAAACATAGTAAAGGTAATCCATAATAACGCATAGATACGCACGTACAAACATAAATATGCATATAGAGCATAATTATAGGGCGCCAATCTAGAGGTGACCTGTGAACAGTGTAACGTAGAAAGAGTAGATATGTAAACACCTCGACCAAACCCAGAGACAGAAGATAAACGGCTAGGCTAAAGTGACGAGAGCCAAACATGTCACATGGTGACAATAAATACACTGAGGAAGAAATTTGTACTGATCATTTAATCATTTAGTTAATTATTTTTTAATGAGTGACTCAATTAGAGATAACAAGCTAGGAACGAGAAACTAGGGGTAAGGGTTGTGGTAACTTAGTGACAACAATAAACAGTCAAACTAATCACTCGGCTATCGAGGACACTTACCAACATCTAGGCGGCATTCCATCGTCTTCATTACTTTTTTAGCATAATCAGCGAAATAGAAGGAATTAAGTGATAGCTTTAGTACCATCAAGAGTACACTATTTTAATTATAAGTGTAAGCTAGGGTTTTGCTAATATGATTGTATGAGTGATGGCTAAGTAAAGAGGTTAATCCAGAATCATAGAAGGTCTAAAGGTGAGCAGGAATATTTTCGGCAAATTAGTAGCTAGGCCGTTAGTGCCTAGTAGCAAACGGCGAAAACAGAGAATGTAACTTCGACCATGTATACACTATTTCATTTAGTCAGCCAAGAGCTACACAGTTGAACGATGACACTAGAGGGTACGTGTGTATTTTGATAAATATGCACAGCAAAAGTGACAATGAGTAGAAGCGACCTGTAGGCAAACTCGAATAGTAGAAAGGTTAACAGTTGCCATTGCATTCTCGCACAGAAATGCAATCCGAAGGTCTTAAGCAAGAATAGCCTCCCCAGGTCGACCACGACCCAATGCCACGGATTCCAGCGGTCTGGTGACGACACGTACAATGTATACATTGCGCCGACCGTGGTTGGCTTCTCGTTGAAGGTGTTGAAGAGATTCAGAGGTGAGGTCCAAGCTTCAGCCCACTCCGGCCTAAATGAAAATACCTTTCGGGTGAGAAGTCTAAGTGAAATTCGATGGCGTCTTGAGGCAGACTCATGGCGTGGAGGTGAAATTCAACTATCAGAAGTTCATCACTTTATGTGACCTAGGGTTAATATAATTATTATACAATCCGTTCGTTATATGATATAGAGAACATATGGCATAGATAAAACACATCCAATAGGAGAGTCAGACTGTTGTAATCAATATGCTGAGTATACAACCATTTTATAGACAAGGAATCGGAATATCCCCATTAAATAGAGTGAACAATGAAAGGATGAAATTATTTTCTTCTTATACCTATCTGTGCTGCCAAAGCTAATAATGATTTGACGAAGATCTTGGCGTCCCAAAATGATTGGATCGGTAAGACGTCTAATAAAGAGTTGCATAAAGTGATTTGATCCACAAATAGCTGCAAAGAGTTCACATGAAAAAAAAGATTTTAAAACTATGTTATGTTTCGCAGACGAAGCATCAAGCTCGGCGGGGTAATTAAGAGGCAAGCACCGGTAAATGGAAAGAAGATATCATCTGTGAAACCCTTCTGTGCGAATGCTTAAGAGCTGTCTTTCTGAAAAAGCATTTTCAACAAATCTCCATAAGCTCCGACTAGAAATAGATAATTAAAGAGATGATGAAGTAAGGGGCTAGAGCTTAGAAAAGGGGCAAAGTGAAACCTGCAAGAAACAGAGAAGCAAGCAGACAAAGGTGGAAGACCATGGCCTGCTATTGGAAACAATAATGTCAAACGTGAATGCACAGCTTTCAAAAGCACATCATTTGATTGTACCACAGAGCATGACCTAATACGTTTGATAGGTTGAGCTAACGAAAGCAAGGCCGGATTAGGTAAGTGACGACCTCCAGCCGTCAAAGCGGCAATGCAACCGGGGCGAGAGTTGAACAACTAAATTTTCATACGAGAATAGGCCTAAAAACACCAAGACAAGCCTTGGTATACATTTTTAATTCGTCCGAAGAGGCGAGTAAAAGAGCTTCGTACAAGCGCCTAAACCGGAAGCCGAAGTAGGATGATTGCCTGGGAACTATGAATGTAGATTTTTGCAAATAAAACCATGGCGCTCTGCACCGCCTCGTGAGCACGATGAAGCCTTGCTGAGGCATGTGACGAAAATCGTGTGAACGGGACACGATGCTTCAAGATAATCCACCAATACACGCAAACAAGGAAGTCGTTTTCTTGGATTATCGTGAAACATGACGTCCTGTTCTGACAAGTTTCGCCCCATTACGGAGGTAAGCTCAGCAAGTATTCAGCAGTGAGCCGAGATCTTATTCGCAAGAATCTAAAGTCACAGCTCCAGGGCAATCATCCTTCTTCGGCTTCCGGTAAGGCTTACTTATGAAGCTCATACACTAGCCTCTTCAAAAAAGATAAAAAGATATATCAACAGCTCTACTTTACACCAAAACAAGTCTCTGTAGGCAATGAAATATGAAGTAGAGCAGCCGAGAGATAATTAGGCATTTCCAAAAAAAGGTAAATCTAATTTCTCAATTCAGGGTAGGAGAAGAACCAGCTCTCGAATCCGGAGGCCTATACGAGGGTGAACTTGCACTGCATCCCTGGTACAAAAGCCTTTTGGGAGGAAATGTTAATTGAATTTCACTGGCATTATGCTGCCCACTCAATTCATTTAGGCAAAAGCAACTGACTATCAACACTTGCATCACCTCAGGGGAACTAGAGTGACGCAAGATGTGAAGACCAAGATTGTGTGGCCCCCGGTATGGTCGCAATCTCCTTTCGATTTATAAAATTAGGTTGACCTCGCCGTCGCAACTTGGTTTTGTCGTCAGGGCGACTTAGTAGAACACACCTTGTCCGAAGTCCTCTGCCATAGTGGTTATCATAATTCACGGCATCATTTCCCAGCTGGGATAAAGTGTGTTCTACTAAGTCGCCCTGGCAGCAAGACCAAGTTGCCACAACGAGTTTTGCTCACTTTTAAGGTGACGCGAGTTGTTAATCAAAGTAAGAATTCTCGTTTTTTCGGTTAAACATATTAGGGCGTACCCTATTTTACTGATGATATCAGATAACAGTTATTTTGTAAATCGATGCAAGCTACGAAAAAATACAGCATTTTTCGTTTATAAGTAGGTTTTCGGGACTATAAGTAAATCAGGTATATGAGAGGTATTCTTTTTATTTCGTTTAGGATTATGAAGGACTGTTAGCCGAATTTTCCCACAATAATATGAATAGATCTTAAGCTCTTCATTAAATTTCCCATAGCCATGTTTTCCCAAAAGATATTCTCATCCCAGCTGGGGTGGATTGCAGTTTCGAACTTGCCTGATTTGGTCTTCTTAGCGCCCCCAGCAGAACTCGAAATATAGCAATGCAGTGTGTAATCCCGACACGTTGACCACTACGCCACAATGCCACGAGTCTCAAAAACCGACTTATTAAAACGAAAAATAAGTAGTGTAGTCGAACGCTACCGGAAATATAGCTTGTTGTATCCACAATCCTACAACAAAATGTGATATGAAAAAGTGCCGTGAAATTCACATCTGGTCTGTGAACAATGGGCGAGATTATGCGCTGCACTTGCACGGTTCGAGTTCCGCTGTAAGACCTGATAAGATCAGACCAGTCGAGATCGAAAATACAGTCCACTCCGGCCAGGATAAGAATAACTTTTGTGGAAGCAAGAAATTCAGTGTGAAATTCAATGTAAGTGTAAGTTCTACTCATAGGACCTTAAACGAAATCTGGTGAATACATTTCATAAATACAGCATTGTTGTCAATAGTCCCTCATGACTGTATTTGGCAAATAGAACGAAAGGAAGCAGAGCCAAATATTTCCCATAGAATGGCTTTTCTGGCCTAGTTGGGAAGTTGGGCTTAAAAGAATGTCTCCTATCGCCTCCACTTATTTATGACAATCATGTGGCGACTGCTTAGGAATAACATTATGTGTCATGATGTACGAAGAAGTACGTCGTAAGTTTTGCAATTGGATGTACGCTAGTAGCGACTGGATGAGACAAAAGAATTTCTCGATGAAGAAACCAAGTCATGTCCTAGTTTGGAGATAAAATAGTTTAAGCGCCTACAAAGAATGAGCAACGTCTGATCAAAATTAAAATAGTTCCAAATGAACATGTGGAAAAAGACAGTGTGATGATGAAGTCAAATGAACGAAGAAGAAAATGCAAGATAGACAGAAGAAAAGATGATAAGGATAGGGAAAAACAAGGAAATATGCTGAATTATGTACACATTCCTCTCTCTATATATACATATATACATATATATAGGCATATTTGTAAGTTGATTATAAACAGACGCAAAATTGGGAAATGCTTTATGCCTATCAAAGCAAACAGAATAAGAGACAGACATTTGGAAGTAAACAAGCCAAACATGGAAAATGAGAGACAGCCAAATCCGCTGACCGAGCAACTGGCGGTCCAGACGGGGATGATAGTAAGAAGAATAACCAGACAGACGTGGGGATAGAGAGAAGCAAAAGGCCAGAAATGAGAGCGGTGCAGGAGGACGATGGTACAGGCCGACCCGAAATTGCCAAACATCGTCGAGCGTCCAGAAGACCCAATTGCCCTCTAGTGCATTGCACCGGCTCGCGATAACTGGCGAAAGCGATAGACCGCCAGCTCTAGTCGGAGAGAAAAGAGGTGAATGATTGACGAAGTGTGAAATCTCGCATACTGGCCGACTAGATTGCCGGTTGTCCTGCTGTCTGGCCGTTTGGCCTTCTGGCGCTCTCCAGTTTGGCCGACTATAGGCCAGACTGACGTTGCTCGAGCGTAATCGACCATGGCCGTTCGTGGTCGCAGTGACGGAAACCGTAAAATGGCATGTTACCATAGCAATCAGAGGTGGAAATAGAAAACGGACAAGCGTAATACAAACGGAACGGACATCTACGAGTAAGAATATTGTGGGTCAATGGACGAGGAAGGAAGATGGGCATAAGCATATGGATATGTGAATATATATGAACCGATAAATGCATAGATAGAGGTGTTTCAAGGATAATAGAGAAGAGACCTAGACACGTAGGAAAAGACTGACTGGCCGAATCGATGCAAATTATCCCGACTCAAGATGGGATGAAGAGTCCCCAGAGAATGGTCGCAATGCCTTCCAGCAAATGGTGCATTGATGCCACAACCTACATGGTACAGGGAATGTACCAAGTCCACGGTCACACGCTGGAAAAGGTCATAGCTACCACGGAAGAGGAGTCTGGACAATGCGTGCTCCTCCAGGTCGCCCCGACAGCACGACCAAGTTGATAGAACTGGTTGAAGCAAACTGTAAAGGGG